TACTGAGATGATTGGTGATATCGCCTCGGCACTGAATGTGACAATCGATTTGTCTACGTTTTTACTATTTACCGATATTAACGCCATCGTTTCTCATGTTGATAGAGAGCTAGGCTTAAGTTCTGCGAACGAGGATAGCACAACATCTCAAGTCCTCCAAGAGCCATCGATAGGAAATGGAGGGTCACGAAGCCTGTCGAGCTCACCAATCCAAGGGCCTACGGAACGAGCTCCGAGGGAGTTCAAAGACACACCAGTGTCATGCGGTGGGTTCAATGCGAAGACAGAAGAACTGCCAACCATCAATTCCATTCATAGATCGTTTGACGAGGTGCGGCTCAGCTTTGACCGGCTTGGGACATCGACGAACGCTCTCGACTATTGGTCTGAGATTCACCCCGGCGATGTTCGTCTAGTCATGGCCTACGTATCGCAGGCTTTCCAGACCTTAGGTTGCGATCTACTGGTACTGAGTTCTGGAGATACCGTCCCCATTGTGAAAGGCATTCTGCCTCGTCACCAGCAGCTCCTACATCGGCTGTACCGCTTTTTGGAAGACGAAAACATCGTAGAGTCTTCCGGGGACTGTTTCATCAGGACTAGCAAGCCCATCGACACCACATCAGGAGAACAGGTTTTCCAGGATATCATAGACAAGCACCCCCTAAACGCTCCAATTCGTCACCTTCTAAGAGCTGTGGGGCCGCATCTTGCTGCGTGTCTTGTTGGAGATCATGACGCCCTCCAAGTGCTTTTCGGCAACCGAGCAAACAAGAAGTGGCTTGACGATCTTTATCGAGAGTGGCCCATGTTAGTAACAGCTACTCATCTGCTGGGCGATTTCTTGTGTCGATCATTCAGTCATAGTAGCGGTTCTGTCCCATTCCGCATCTTAGAAGTTGGAGCTGGCACAGGAGGCACAACGCGCCATGTCGTCGACTTACTGGTCAAAGCCGGAATCCTTTTCGAGTACCATTTCACCGACCTATCTGCATCACTTGTCCAGAAGGCCAAGACCTCTTTCGCAGGAATCAGCGGCATGACCTTTGGGGTTTTGAACATCGAGAGCGAGCCGACTGCTGAGCTCACTGAGGCGTTCCACGTCATCATATCGACTAATTGCATCCACGCAACTAGGAACATAACCTCAAGCCTAGCCAATCTACGCAAAATGCTCCGTGAAGACGGTGCCCTTGCCCTGATTGAGATGACGCCAACTCGGCAGCTGTACGTCTTTGATATAATCGTCGGTCTGCTGGAGGGCTGGTGGCTCTTCAACGATGGTCGTTCCCACGCCTTGGCTGATGCGGAACATTGGCAACAGGCTTTTTTAAGCGCAGGCTTTGCAGATGTACAATGGTCTGATGGAGAGTCGCTCGAGGCCAAGACTGTCAGAGTGATCTGTGGGTTTCGGAAGTCTGGCTCTGCCCGACCTGAGACAGGTGCCGACAAGATCGAACGCGGTCAGGTAGAGATTGATGTGGAGGAAGTGGTCTACAAAACAGCGGGGTCCCAACAGATTCACGCGGATATTTATTATCCTCAAGTGGCAAACCCAGCCAAGAAGATGCCGATCGGTGGGTTACTTAGAGTCCGGCAGGTGCTTGGAAACAGGAAATTTCTAACATGAAGCAATCAGCTCTAATGATACATGGAGGAAGTCACATCATTTTCTCCCGCAAAGATATCAGACCTCCGCAGACGCGCATCATGATTGACATGGGGCTTTTGCCAGTCAGCCTAGACCATCGGCTATGCCCCGAGTCTCAACTTGTGGAAGGCCCCATGGCTGATGTATGCGATGCACTTGAATGGGCTCAAAAGATACTGCCGTACATCAAACTGAGGAACCCCGAAATCAGACCTGATCCAGACAACATCGTGGTTGTGGGATGGTCCTCCGGAGGGCAGCTGGCATTGTCGACTGGATGGACGGCACCAGAGAGAGGGCTTCGGCCGCCAAATGCCATCTTGGCTTTCTACTGTCCTACTGACTATGAGGATGCCTGTGAGTTGAACATGTCGCTTGCGTCTTGTGTATGAATGCTGATCTGCAAGTACAGGGTGGCAATCTCCCATTCAACCCGTTGGAGCAGAGGACTTGGGTGAAGAATACGACGTTCTAGAGGCCGTCCAAGATGAGCCTGTAAGCTTCCCTGACCACCTCATTCAACTACCTTAAGCCGTAGAAGGCGAGTTGTTACTGAGTTCAATCATGTGATACAGGTTACCAATTATGGAACTATCGGCGCTTGGGAACCCCTTTCAGATCCCCGAATTCGCACCGATCCTCGTTCTCGTATTATCTTACACATGAATTGGAAAGCCCAAACGCTACCAATCATCATTGAAGGCTTACCTAGCAGAAAACTCGCAGGTTCAAGAAGACCCGAGGTGACGGACTGGAACACACTGCCACAGCCTTCAACAGAGGAGGTCCGGCGGTGTAGTCCGTTGGCCCAAGTAAAGAACGGTCGTTACCAGACTCCCACATTCTTGGTACATGGAACTGCCGACGATCTCATTCCGTGGCAACAGTCCAGTCGCACAGCCAAAGAGATGAGAGCCCGGGGCATTGATGTCGGTTTGGTTTTAGTACCAGAGGCACCTCACATCTGTGACGCAAGTCGTGATCAGTCATCGGAGGGGTGGTTGGCAGTTTTGAAAGCTTACAGATGGCTTGAAAAACATGCGTTCTCTCGTGGGCTCAATGATCATGCAGTCAGCGCCGAACTACAACAGACGTCTGGCTACATGTAATTCAGGGCTTTTACCGTGATGGGACCCAGGGAGAGTTTCAAGGTTTGCCAAGGGCAATCCTCAACCTTGGAGACATACATGCATTGAAGAACGATTTTCATGTGTATCAGTCAAATCATATAAATTCAGCATTGCGTCCGAGATATCCTCACGTTATTCGACATCGCAACCGAATTATAATGTCAACGATTGAAACGTTCTATCAAGAGTGCTTTATTCAATATCCTTCGCACTATTTGACATCAAGACAGAAGCGCATGAATGGTCAGTTTATGTCGCCTAAATCCTTTTGACCCCTACTTTGCTGGCCTAAACTCCTTGCAATTGGGGATTCGTGGCTTCGCAGACATATACTGAAACGAAATCCTTGATTTCGACATCGATCCATTCCCATAGATCGTCATTCTTCCACACCTCTCTACCTGCCTCATCATCAAATCCTCGAAAGCCCCAGGCGCCTGGAATTGCTTCAAGCATGTCAAGAAACTCGACTGCGTTCATCGAAGAGGTTGAGGATTCTTTGATGAGGCCTCTCTCACCCCAGACCCTCCCAAACGTGCGGCCCTGGGCATGGAAGTCTTTATCATATTGATTAAAGTACCATTTGCACCCTGACTTTTTTCGAATGCTCCGGTCAACCAGAATGAACGGATAATCGGCCGTTCCATGTTCGCGACCCTCAAAGTCCTCAATCGAGTCTATCATGAGGTTCAGAAAGCACGCTCTTGGGCCAGGCCTCTTTCGCAACTCAGCTATCGTCTCTTTTTTTGGATCAAAAGCCCAGGAGCTATCGTACTCGAAAGCAACATTGTTAGGACCACACCATCCGTACCAAGAGTCGTTCCAGAATGGGAGCTTGCTCCGCGAGTCGAAGCTGTTGTAGACCCCATCTTCGGGTATTTGCAAGCAGATAAGGTCTGTACGAGGGTTTACTGTGAAGCCGTACGTTTTGTCACCTTCGCAGAAAATACCGACCCTTTGAGGAGTGAGATCTCTTCTGGTGGGATCCGCGTTATGAATGTACTTCTTCTTTCCCTCCTTCCACTTCTTTATCATTACTTCCCTGGAGTCTCTGCATGCAGTCCAAAGACCAGCGTCGAGGAGGTACTCGGACCAGTTTCCTGCTATGAACGAAAGGTCGACACCTGTTATTGTGACAGGATAGGGGTTATTATCCATGCGACTTCGAGAATACGATAACCTTTTCGGAGGGCGTGGCGGTGTGCTTTGCGGCGTAGAGCTCACGGGAATGAAGTGTAATCCTGGTCGAGAGGTACGGACTGAAGCAGCGAGCTCCCAAATTGCCAGCCTCAATTCTGCTGGGAGGTCGGCGAAGGTTAAGGGAGTCTTTGCCGACATTGTTGACGAAATTTGGGAGCAGAAGTCAAGTTGTGTCTTGTGAGCCTGAAAGAGAAACGAGAGTTGAGTGTGTTCGACGGAAGATTTTTCACTCAGTCAGACGGTGCGGCGACATTTTATAATGAACTTGACTGACCTTGTTGATGGTGTACACCCTGAGCCACTAAAGCTATAATAAAGTAGAAAGTTCCACAGATATTCCAAAGGTGTTCCCGAGTGGACCAATAGATGCTCACCTCAGTTTATAGAGGTGGACACAAGGTTCCAGTTTGTCAACCTCATGCTTCGAAAAACATCACGTTACTTTATACCCAGATGAACACGGGCAAAAGGCCCCGTCAGACCTGCCCCGTTGGGAATCCAAACGCTGCTATTGGTCCAGCCGGTGCCCAAAATCTCTCGATTGCAACCTTTTAAAGGGCAAGAGCTTGATACTTGCAAAAGGGCAGGGATTCATAAACCTTTCATGATTGATACAACCTACTTTAAGGGTATTTTCTGTGCAAAACGTCGTCAAGGTCATTAGAAATATGTGAACCTGGATCTTGAAGTGTGATAACGCAGGGATGGCCACAACGTGCCTATACTGTGAATTGAACATTTCGATCAACATGTAATTGCATCAGAATGTATTTCTAGAAGATACTAAAATCCTTTCATTCTTCAAACACTGGCAAGATCAATAATTTAGTCAAACAAAAACTCTATCTTGGACCCTAGACTGGGGTTATTGGCCGACGACTTCGTAATGGACGTGTGGTAGGTCCTACTGCTTCCATTTCTCATGACAGATGCGCTCAAATGAACCACCCCTTTTCGAGCTCATCTCGGAGATTTTTCACGGCGTCTCTACATTCTCTTGGCCAAAGCTCAGCCCAGTCCTACTCGTTTCCCAGAGATCCCACATCCTCTTCATCTGTGATAGCTAGCACAGGGATAGCTTCCTCAGGATCGAGATAGTACGATCTACTGATGCCTGCAAAATTAGTCTTCTCCCATGTCCAGTACCCCTCGACCGAGCCGATGGCCTCCAAAAAGTTCAAAGCATTCATTCCGGATGTCAAAGTCTTTTCGGCAACATCGCGAAGGCCTTTCACGACTCCGAATGTGCGTCCCTTGGAGCGATACTTCTCGTTGAAAGAACCGGGATTGTGAGGTGCTTTCCGTCGTCGACGTATGCTTCTATCAATCAGGTAGATAGAAGGTGCGGAATCATCGCGCCTTCCTGCGAGAATGCTCAAGAAGAAGCCACGGGGCCCCGGCTCATACTGCATGCCATCCAGCGCATCTGCAGCCATGCCTAGCTTGACACCGACAGCCCAGGAAGAATCATATTCAACTGCGATGCTGCAAATACCGCTTGGAGGCCACCAGCTAGTTCTCCAGAATGGCAGCTCGCCCCACCCGGAATTCCAGTCTGCGTCATTTGAGAGTTGAAAGCATAAGAGGTCTCGACGAATGTCTATATCAAAAACCCAGTCATGAACACCGTCTCGAAAACTTCCGAATCGGGTACTCTGGCTCTTATGCCTCTTATTCACCAGCACCAAAGCAGATTCTTTGCAGGCGGTCCACATTCCAGCGTCGATAAGGTAGGCTGAGTCGTTGTCCTTCACCCAGGAGCGCTCGGTCTTGGGCATGATCTCCAAATTGTCGGCTTGACCTGATCCATCCAAATCGATTAGACCAGATATCCAGCGCCGGTCAAATGCCTCTTCCGTGTACTCGTCAATAGGTATGAAGTGGATTCGAGGCTGTGCCGCGGTATAGGCGACGGATTCCCAAATCTGCAGTCGGAGCTCTGCTGGGAGATCGAGGAAGCGATGAAAGCTGGCAGCCGCCATATTTTATAATGATATCCGTTGTGCGATAGCGTCGTGTTCTCAATGATGGTCCTTAGAGCGGGAGTTGGTATGTCGTAGTTGATATAATCCTCGAGAGTAATTGTACATGTTTGAGTTATTGAAGAGAGTCCTTTCAAGGTAGAAACTGTCTGGCTGGCTTTAATACAAGGCGATTAAGATTTCGAAAATACAAAGAAGTAAAGTTTTCACGCCGTTCAGGTAGCTCTGACCGCAGCAACCAGTTGAAGCCGAAATCCGAGGTCCAAGTCATCAAGCTCATAAGTACCCGGATAAATGTTATTAGCGACTCAAGACCCCGCAGCGTACCAAGCGCGGGGGAAAGGATAAGTTGACACAAAGTGAATGCAGTACGGGTTTCGAACATGATGTTCGAAATGAGACGCAAAACTACCACAGACCTTAGCTCGTTTGGGACGGTCGACTCGAAAAGATGCATGTTAGACTTCCTCGACTGCAATCGCGTATAGAGACTATGAGGGTCGTTACAGCACCACCAAGTGTCCAGGAAAGGTTCCGGATGTCTACATGTATTTCTCTAACATCCATCCAGCTACACCGAGCGGCAACACTCCAATACGTCTTAGCTTCTTTCCTGTCACGAAAACTCATTTCAACCACCGTATCCATGAATTGTTGGGGCAAATCTCACCGTGGGTAGCTAAATTGTATAAGTAGGCCGACTATGTATCGAGGCGTCTATGAGTGTGCTGCCTTGCCAGAACCCTCGACACCAGCGGCAGCTAGTCAAAAGTCAACCTTCTTTGCGATCTCATCGAAGAAAAGAAGTTACATTGCATTCCATGCCGAGCAGAACTTGCCGCTTAAGCCTGATATCTAGCGTCTTCTTCATCGTTGATTGCGAGCACAGTCGCAAAATCCTTGATGGGGATGTTTTGCCAAGTCTTTCCCTGGATCTTTCGCTCCTCATGAGAGAGTTCATCATCATAGTCAAGAAACCCCCAAAATCCTCTGACATCAATAGCCCTGAGAAAGTCAAGAGCATTCATTTTGCCAGGCTTCAGCGTCTCTTCCATGAGATCCCATGCGGTGATTACTGTTCCGAACGTGCGTCCTTGAGAGTGAAACTCGATGAGATGTCCATAACTGTCTTTGCCCGGCACCCGACGTACGGTTCTGTCGAGTAGAAAGATCTTAGGTCGAGTTCGGAGTTCCTCAATGTTTTCAATCGTGTCGCGTAAAAGACGCACGAAGAACCCGCGTGGACCGCTTTCACAGTACATTCTGCCCAGCGCGGCCAAATCCAAGCCTGACTTTATCCCTTTGACCCCGAGAAAGCCACTTTTAGCGTGCTTTTACCGGCGAGTGGAGCAGGTTTCCTGGTTAAGTAAGTAGATCAGCTTTATAGAAGACCTGTCTGGCTGAGATACCAGCTGCTAGCTCAACCTCATAGGCCGTTGCCAGCTGCAGCCAAGTCGCGCTAAAAGTGGCTTTCTCGGGGTCAAAGGGATATCGGCGGTCCAAGAGGGGTCGAACTCCACCGCAATCTTTCTCAGACCTTCATGGGGAAAACAGACTACGTCCCAGAAGATATCCATATCCCGATTTGGCACTGTGAGTTGCGAGAAATCGAAGCAGAAGACATCCCGAACGCTGTCCACGTCGAAGACCCAATCCTCATCGCCCTCTCTGAAGGTTCCGAATTTGGGTCTCTGGGCGTTCTCTGAATCCTTCCGCTCCATCCGCCCCCTCTGCCGTTCTTTAATCAGCACTCTAGTAGACTCTTTGCACGCGGTCCACATTCCTGCATCAATCAAGTAATCCGACTCATTGTTCTCCACCCATGACAGTGTGCCCCGAGGCATAGTCTTCGGAGAGAGCAGTTCGCCGGTCTCTCTTTCGTCCAAAAGCATTGAAGCCCGCAAGGTGTCCATCAGATTGCCGGTCTCGCTTCTGCACAAAAGTGATCTGTCCCGCTTCCAGATGTGATATGCGTCAAGGTCAATCGGTATGAAATGAATCCGAGGCTGTGCCGCAGTGCAGGCGGCCAACTCCCAAATATGCAGCCGGAGTTCTGTCGGGAGATCAGCGAAGCGATGGAAGGTGGTAGTCGCCATCTTTGTGACTGCGTTTGATGTTTGGCAGTGTCGTCCTAAAGAACGTATTGCGTGGGCAAGTTAATCTGTTAAAATGAGTTTGCAAATCCTTTTTCAATCGAAGGACACTTTTATGAAAAATTCCATTCTAGCGGAGACCGATTGTCTACAGAGACAAAGACTTCCTCACCCAACAGGGTTATTAAAATTTCGGCCGCTCGGGTTATTTGAACACCCAGTAGGGTCTGAAACTTCATTCCAACATTTATGTCATCCCTTGGTCCATGGAAGGTAACTAATGAGAAGAGCTTAACATGGGGTACATTGAGATCAAGTAGCGCCTCAAACCCATTGCTATTGAGGTTTTACCTAAATCAATCGTGAGAAACATTTTGCTCGATTCAACTTAATGGCAGACGTCGAAGCCATCTAGAGACATCATTTACAACAATCCAACGCAACCTCAGTCCGAGGGCTAGGTCATCAAGCCCACCACAGCTGGATAAATCCCATTGGCGAATCCTCCTCAGACCCCGCAACGTGATGAAGGCGGGGGAAAGGATAAGCAGACACGACGCGACTGGCGGAGCGTCACATCGGCTACATCATCATTCAATTATGAGCGCTAGATCACACAGCCCCTTTCGAATCATCAAGTCCCACATCATGAGCGACTCATTGCAACGCGGCGTGGCCTACTCTCCTAGTCTCCCGCTCGCATGATTCAACCTCGCAGTTTCGGTAAAGAAAAGTTCCCCATTACTTCTCATCTATCTTGGCGGCGCAGACGGCTGACGGGCGAAATCAAAGGCTGAGCGGCACAGCATAGCACACTCAGAAACCGCTCTTCAGGGCGTCGAAGATCAGCTAAGCAGGGCAAAATCCTCCGGCGCCCGGGCCCGGCATTCCGCGACGACCCGCGCCGACAAACCGGTTCACGAGGTTGTCATCGAGGCGAGGCTTTCTTCAGCTCATATCTCAACTTGTCATATATTGTCCACAAAACAGAAGCTCAATCGGAAACGGCATTGCTTAGACCTTCCAGATCAACAAGTCAACATTCTTCCCCCTCAGAGAAGCATCAACATGTGGAAAAAGAACAAGTCCAAGGCCCCACAAGACGCCTCCCCCGGGCCCAGCACCGGCTCCGGTCCCATATCCGCCGGCCCCGCTCCTCCCGCCTACACCTCCGACCCGCCATCCTCCCTCACCGACCCCCTCGAGAACCTGTCCATCTCCCATTCCCCCACCGCAGTCCCAACAGAAGCACACTGCCTTGCCCATCTCCGCCTCCTCTACGCCTTCAACCGCCTCAAGACGGAGACAGGCTACCGCAACAGCCTCTGGAACGTCTTCGACTCCCGTGCGGAATCCCTGGCCTCAGCCACCAACAGCAAAAACACCGCTGTCCCAGACACCGCGGAACCAAGCATAGATATCCTCGTCAAGCTCCGCGAGAAGCGATGGGCCGTCTACATCGCCCGCGCAGTCTCGCGCTACGAGGCGTGGTGGTCCTCCTTCGTCCCGGACATGCTCCTCGAGAAAGACATGCTCGACCCAGACGAGGGGCGGAAGGATCGGTATGAGGGGTTCGTGAGACGGGAAGGAATGGTTTGGAACGCGGACATGCTGCCGCCGCTGGGTTCTCCCTCCCCCTTTCTCTGCTTTCTGATGAACAGCGATCGCTGACACATAACGCAGACGTCCTCCTCGTCTGGCACGCGCACATGCTCAACCCCAGAATCTACCTCGAAGACTGCCTCCGCTACGGCCACGCCGCGCTCTGGACCTCGGGTATGCCCTGGGCGATCGTCAACGCCGCCATCTGCGGGCCGGCGTTCGAGTACGTCGTCTCGGAGGCGTGCGTGGCGCAGTGGACCTCGCGGACCAACCTCGCCTGGAGAAACGAAGACGACCCGGATACGAAAGAGATAAAGTGCCCAAGCTGCGCTGCGACGGTCTCAGTCCCGTGGACGACGTGCGGGCAGGAGGAGGCGTATCAGGGGAGCCAGTACGTGAAACCCGTACCTCTTGTTTATCTCCACCGTCAGACTGGAACTTTCCATCGCCGTGTTTCCGTCAGAACGAGAAACATATCACGCATGAACCAAACTAACAAAACCACAGCCGTCCCGGCCTCTCAGGCTCCGGCCTCGCAGACGGCCACCTCTCGCAAACCTGCCCCTGCACCTTCACCATAACCCACCAAGCCCTGCGAACCGCCAAATTCCTCACAGACATCCAAGTGTCGATAAAGCAAGGCCACGCGATGCCAGGGACGATTCTCGACCTGCAGAGCGGAATGCCGAAACACCTTTCATCCGCCTCCTCGAGCAGCACGTCTTCCCCGATCCCAGACCAGCTGTTTCCTTCGCATCTCGCCCGCCGCGGTCTTCTCTCCCCTGTGCTCTCCCTCCTGACCCCTAAGTCTTCGACACCGGCGTCCATGACTGCCGTCCGCGACGTGATCCAGGAGACCTTCACGGGCAAGTTCGCGGACCCGAAGAACCTGCGGGAGGTCATGTCGCGGCACGGGCACAAGAAGGTCACGGAGTTCAGGCTGAGCCTGGAGGGCCGACGGCAGACGCGAAAGATGATGTCGCGCTACTGGGAGAACGCCAGCCTGTTAGGAATTGATCTCGTGGGCTGCGTGATGAGGCAGGGCGTGTTTACTGAAAAGATGTGCAAGGTCAGCTTCTCCCCTCGTAACCTTTCTATGCCAAACCTTTGGACCGAGTAAGATTACTCACCTCAGATGCGGTGATGTTGACCAGCGGTCTGCAACAGATCAATTGGCTATCCCTCCCAACAGCCCAGCAAACCATGTCCGCCCTCCTCACGAAGTACACCCGCTTCATGACCATAGTCTCCCTCGCGTCGTCCACAAAGGACCGCGTCGCCGTGCCCACGGTCGACGTCGACCTCGCCTGGCACACGCACCAGCTTAGCCCCCGATCCTACTACGATTACACTGTCGCGGAGACGGCCGCCTTTGTCGACCACAACGATAAGGTCGACGAGGACAAGCTCAGCACCGCCTTCGAGTGGACGTGTAAGACCTACCAGGAACGGTTTGGCGAGGTGTACTCAGAATGCAAGTGCTGGTACTGCGAGAGTAAGTTCCCTTTCACATACCCTCTGATACGACCCCCCTTCCATCTCGCGTACGAGATAGATAGTGACAAAGCGCGATGGCTTCACAAAACCTTGAATCAAGATAGTAGATAATGGCAGAAATACGGCCGCCGCCGCCGTCCGTCGGTCTCCGGATTTGTGAGGAGAGAAAGACTGACGTTGATTCGCTATCAGCTGTAAGGGTGATGGCGCTTCCTGCAACCAAGATGTTCGCTTCAGGCAAGGAGGAAAAGCGTAAGCATGCAGCCGTCTCCCCGCATCTATGTCGTGTAACCCTCCAAGAGGCTCACCCACCCCAGTCCTCGAAGCATGGCACTCCTCCCCCGAAGCCAAAAACGTACCCATCCCACCCGCTGCCGAATCAGCGCACGTCTCGTCGCACCCGGCGGTACATACCAACGAGACGACGTCGCGGAGAGCTCACACGCGCCCGCTGCGACTGGACTACAGGAACAGGCTCGAGGAAACACATTCCAAGGCACGGAAGAGGGCAAACAAGACGTTCAAAGCAGATCAAGGTAAGAGGATGGGACCGAGGGGAGAGGACATGGCGAGCTTCTGGGGCAAGGAGGTTCCCGTACAAGGGCCGTGGGCAGCGAGTCTGGCCGCCACAACAACGAGTGACATGTACCCGTCCCCGCCTGGATTCGTTAGCACAGGGCCTGGAGCTGTGGGGAGCTGTGCCACGGGCACGTGTGGTGGTTCTGGTGGATGCGGCTCGGAGACGCTTGGTATGTGTTCTGCCGGGTGTGTTGGGGTAAGTGACAAGTCTCTTGATATCTCGGTGTCTCTTTTCGTACTGCGCGAAATATGGCCCTGTTTCTTTTCGGAGTTTGTCTTATCTTTGCCGAGGCTCTTTGACGCTGACAAGGTGACAGAGCGCCTGGTTCGGCGGCAAGTCCGGATGTACAGGATTCGCGGGGTCGTAGGGATTTGGCAGCATGTAACTTTGCAATATCCCATGGCTGGGACAAGTCATATCTCCGCCAGAGTCTGTTGACACGTGCTGTCATGAATGTGTGAAGTCGCAACTTGCTACCGCTTAAGCTTATTCCGTCCAGACGCAAGGTCCGATCGGAGGTCGGGATGTGGGAACCACAGGGCGTGGGGAGGGCCGCTCGCTTCCAGTTGCACGAGTAATGAGAGGGCGAAGATATGGGCCTTGTTCAAGCAAATGGTGGAAACTATGTTTAATGAAAGACAACCGTCCATGGGTGTTGTACACCGCTTACGAGTCGATCGCTATCAGCGCTTGCTTGGCCCATTGCACCAAGTGGCCGACATTGATTGTTGACTCGTCGGGGCTTTGCTTGGTGACACAACGCGCCGCTTCTCCGTCCACCTGCCTCTCTGTGCCTGGCGTGAGACATCAGGCTTCTGCGGTGCAGCCCGAGATCACCGCCGCCGGACCCTGAGAGGTCTATCATCGCCAGGCACCTCGTCCAAATCACGCAGGATCGGCACCTGGCCCCCAAAGAGGAAGGTTCGTGGAAGGCCCCGTGCACCATCGATCAAGGCCTGTCTTTGGAGGGTTGACGTGCAGCGGAGAAGGCTCGATACCGCATCTCCTGCTGGCAATGTTGGCAGGTTTGCAGGGTGATTGACAGGGACCGATAAGATAACGTGCCGGTGCCGGCTGATATGAGTGGCTGGTCCCAGACTTGGCTTGGAGTTGGATTTGGAGTAAAGTCTCCTTGGATGAGAGGTTGCCCGCCGTGCATCGGCACTCAAAGCGAGCAATATTAGATTACCCCGCCAATAAGAAGAGAGATAAAGGGGCACACAGCTGTCAGCTTGGCCGCTGAACCCTGTGGTCCCCCCTGCAAAGCCCTATGAGACGTTCGCCTTGGGTCACACTTCAGCCGGCCAGAGTGCCTCTTTTCAGAGAAGCGCGCCGTTTCATCGTCTCAGTGTAGCTGTGTCGGCGGATTCCTGGAGGGTCGGGCTGGAGATTAACAAAGCAGGTCGAGCGTTCGTGGGGTCGGGAAGGATCGTGAGTGGCTCGACGGCATCTGGAAAGGCGGAAAGGTGGGGATGCGTCGTGGTTAGACAGAGGGAAACGTGGACTTGGTACTATCGCGACCCGCCGATGAAAGTGTCTCTTGATGAGTGTCGAGAGAAAGAGGAAGGAGGCAAAGAAAACATATAAACTGACGGCGGATCTCCCGCTCTGGGCCGTCTGTTTCAGCTCATCGACAGTCAGTGCCAAGACCTTCGTTCATAAGCACCTCTCAGCCTTCATCCCTGTTCTCCGTCCGTCGCTCCGGTCATCGTCGCCAACATGAAGTTTTCCGCTGCCATCCTCGCCCTCGCCGGCGCTGCCGTCGCCGCCCCCGTCTCGGACCCGGTCGCTGAGCCGATGCCGATGCCCACTCCCGTGAGTCGAGCTTTCAAAGCCGATTTTGTTGATTTTGCGCTGACAATTCGCAGCCTGGCATTCCCACTGCTGCCTCTGCCAAGACCCAGCTTGCTGCCCTGACCGTCCGTGCCTGGACTAACACCGACACGTACGACCGTGATCTTTTCCCCCACTGGATCACCATTTCCGGCACTTGCAACACCCGTGAGACCGTCCTCAAGCGCGACGGCACCAACGTTGTCACCAGCTCTGCCTGCGCTGCCACCAGCGGAACCTGGGTCAGCCCCTACGACGGTGCCACCTGGACCGCCGCCAGCGACGTCGACATTGACCACATGGTCCCCCTGAAGAACGCCTGGGTTGTAAGTGATATTCCCTCTCCGTGTGCATGAACAAACGGAGCTCTAACACGGAATGACAGTCTGGTGCCGCTTCCTGGACCACCTCCAAGCGCCAGGACTTCGCCAACGACCTCACCCGCCCCCAGCTGTGGGCTGTCACCGACTCCGTCAACCAGTCCAAGAGCGACAAGAGCCCCGACTCCTGGAAGCCTTCCGTCTCCAGCTTCCACTGCACCTACGCCCGCGCTTGGGTCCAGGTCAAGTCCTACTGGGCCCTCTCCGTCACTTCTGCTGAGAAGACTGCCCTCACCACCATGCTTAACACCTGCTAAGCGACGCGACCATGATGTTTTGGATACGAGCGATGAAATTTAACGCGGGCTGGTGACTGCGTGTCTGATGATTGTCAGTGAACCAGCCACCAATTGGTGTTTTTTCTACTGTATTTACTTCTCTTCTTGAATATCTTTTCCCGAGAGGGCTTTGTCCACATGCGATCAGCAGCGATGGAAACACGAGACTGCCGAGAGCAGACGGGGTCACTTGGCGCCCCTGAGAGGGTTTATGACGATTGTCGGAATTGGTGCAAGGGAGGGCCAGGAGAACAAGGCCATTGTTGGTAGTGTAGGTGCGTCCAAGGGAGACAAAAGATGGATGCTAGTGGAATAGCGAGTCTTGGTTCTTACTGCCTCTAATGAGAATGGCGCAAAAGCAAAACCACGCCCACGGCGTCCCGTGGAATGCACCGCCCCCTCTGTGCCCGCCGTGATGCAATCGTTTTCTGGGGTCGATCGTTGAGTGCCGCAGTCGGCAATCTCGGTGCAACTTTCAGGGTCTCGTCTCGCGTAAGAAAAAATACGGGAATGCCAACGCTCTTGGCGCCACAAGCGATCGCGTTCGGCTACGCTATAGGGCGGAGCAGGGGCAATGTTGAAGGTGCAGCTGGTTGACCCGTGGATGCTGTCTCTCGGCAGGCCCCAAGAGCTAATTCTGTTCGCGACCAAGTCTAGACAGTCCGAAATTGCGCCAACCCGCCGAGACTGCGACAAGAGAATCTCTTCGTGTCCGTTTAGACATAAGACATTGGCAACCGCAGAGTGTCGAATGGAGGCGGGGCCTTGGCGGTTGCCCTGAGGACGGGAGAGGAATGGAAGACGGACGACGTCACTCGCGGAGGGAACGGCCGTTGGAATGCATTTCTGGGACCTGACGAGTCCGGGGAAAACGAGGGCGACGAAGAACGGCTTTCGAGACAGAATCCGGAAGCAGATGGCGGCGATGGATGCGGCAAGCGCAGGCCAACAGCAACAGCAGCCGTCAACGAGGACCGTTGCCCTCGATGAAACGACCAGACCTTGATGGCTGTCAACGCCATCTGGCTGAGATGAGAGAAGTTTCGGAGATTTGGGTGCGAATGGCTTGCTGTTGGCGGTGTTGATGGGAAATGGAAAATTGACTTTTGGTGGTGCACCTTCCAAGGCAGAAAGAAACAGAGCGGTTGTGGGGCTGGCCGATGGTGAAGAAGCAACGAGGAAGAGCGCTTCCCAATGCGGCAAGTTCGAGGCAAGTACGAGAAAGACAAGGCGGGCAGTCGCTGCCTTCACCGTGGTCGCCGTTTCCGTAGCCTTGGCTATTGTCTTCAGCGCTCTCGACTGCTTCTCCTTTCTCCTTGCAGTCACTGCCATGGACGCTGCCCATTGTTCGGGGGCTGTGTCTTTGACCTTCCTTCCATTTAAGCCGTTGATGCATCCCTCAACTCTCCAATTTCAGTTCAACCTCATCCCAAGCATCAATCGCATCAAACCAGAAACCACACTCGTTCTCTTCCGTCAAGATGATGAGATACGCTGCCCTCTCCCTGGCCGTTGGCCTGGCCTCTGCCCAGACATTCTCCGTGTGCAACCCCGTCAAGGGTGAAAGTAGGTTCCTCTCTTCACCTAGCTCTGCGATCTTATAGATGTGGCATGATACTAACTACTCCCAGCTTGCCCTGCCAACCCGGCTTTCGGCGGCGAGGGCAACTACAACTTCCGCGACGCGAAGAGCATCGATGACCTCGAGTCCTTCTTCATCGTCGACGGCGGCGTCAAGTACAACCCAAAGGTCATGTCCTTCTCCGACGACACAGGTGGCCAGATGACCATCTTTGAGGAGGCAAACGCTCCCACACTCACCTCAAAGAACTACCTCTTCTTCGGCAAGGTCGAAGTCGAGCTCCAGGCTGCTCCTGGCCGTGGCATCGTCACCAGCATCGTTCTGCAGTCAGACGCCCTTGACGAGATCGACTGGGAGTTCGTCGGCGCGGACCAGAACCACGTCCAGACAAACTTCTACGCCCTCGGCATCAACGACTACACCCGCGCAAAGTACTACGAGGTCGACTTCAACCCCATGACCACCTTCCACACTTACACCTTGGAGTGGACCCGCGACTCTCTCATCTTCTCCATCGACGGCAAGGAGTACCGCACAGCCACCCCCGCCGAGGGCAACTACCCGCAGACGCCTATGCAGCTGAAGCTCGGCACCTGGGTCGGAGGCAAGGGCCCCAACCAGGGCACAATCGACTGGGCCGGCGGTCTGGCCGAGTGGGACAAGGCTCCCTTCGCCGCCTACTACCGCTCCGTGAAGATTTGGGACTACGCCGGCGGTGACAAGGCTGGCGCCACCTCGTACGAGTACAAGCCCGGCTCTGACGGCTCCTGGCAGAGCATTCAGATCAACGGAGCAGGCTCAAACAGTGACAGTGCTGGCAACAACTACCAGCAGGAGCACCAGCCTCAGCAGCGCGCTACCGGCGAACAGTCGGCCACTTCCCTTATCACCGCCACGTCTAGCCTGGTCGTTCCCTCAGTCGCCCCGGGACCCATCATTGCTAACAGCACCGGCCTCGCTGGAACCGGCATAACCACTCGCAACGGTCCTTCCGCTACCTCGACATCTCAGCCGGTCCCCGGCTCGGCTTCCTCTGTCCAAGGGGGCATCGTCGCTGCTTGTGCCGCGGCCATGTTCGCCGCCTTGATGGTTTGATCTTCGGGTATGAGCGAGTAGCTTCGTTCCTCAGCGCGGACGCTTTGGTGTGTCCTGGCCTGTACTGATAATGTGTATATATGCTTTAAGGATCGGGCGCGTTGTGTGTGTATACGCCCATTGACGGGGAGAAGGCGTGCTGCCCTGAAGGGCCATGGGAGTTTTGCTCGATTACACTACTAATACCACACTTAATGCATGCTTACCGGTGTTTCTGTTTGGTGATGTGAGATGTAACTAGATCAGCAGAAGCCAGTCTTACACGAAAGATATACCTGGCTAGGGGAGGGCAAAGCTGTTCCCCCTTGTCTCTTATGTCGCCTTTGTCACCATGAGAGAGCTACATCAAGTCACCATCAATACACACGATTTTGAGAATAGAATCTTTGGTTTCTTTTGATCCTTGTTCCGTCTCCTATTACTATTTACACCGGAATAAAAGTGAAAAAAGAGTTCCGAATTACCCCCGAGCCTCTCCCGCCAGACCAAGCCGGCAGCAAAAGGCCGAGGACATCCCAAAAACTGTCCCAATCCAAGAATGCATGCAATCCGCGTATAGTCGCTCGCTCCTTGAATAATGAGAAAAACGTTTCCTTCTTTTCCGTCCATCCCGTAGACACAGCCAGAGAGGGGAGTGCGAATGTTGCTTGCGGTCGACAAGAACCAGAATAGTGAAGGGAGAAAAAAGCCCGGGTATCAAACTAGCTTTGTACAAATGAAAAAAAGAAGTGAAGAAGCAGAAAAAAAGGGAGGTGACGTGCAATGTTCCCAAGCCAGCAACACCCCATATATATGCCCACCCAAACTCCTCGAGTCCAACGTGGTCATGTCGTCGTGGGCTCGGCTGACTTTTTTCTTCTCCCCGTGTGACGAACCCCAGCCATTTGTGTGTGAATTTCCTATTACGCCCCTCTGTTTATCTCAATTATCCCTTCACGCCCTGATGGTCGCGTCGTGTGGGACATCAAACTCAATCTCTCCCTCGTCCAGCTCTCCCCTGGCAGCCCTGCGAGCCAAGTCTCTCTCCGAATAGATTTCGTTCTTGCGGGTCGTGGCTTGCTGTAGGCAGTCGACGTAGGTGCGGAACTTGACAATCTCCCGCAGGAGGTATGCGCTCTTGCGTTCCCAGTTGGCCATGGCCTTGTTGGCGTTGTTGCCGCGAGGAGTGAAGGCCAGAAGCATCGGACTGCGCAACTGGTTGTGCGTCTGCAGCTCGTCTTCGATGCCCTTGACGTACGACGTGAGGCTTTCGAGTTGCTCCTCCTCGGGAAGGTTACTGGGCCGCATGGACTGCGCCGGCGGCGCCCAATCGGAGATGGTGATCCTGTCTCCGGGGAGCTTCGCACCTCTGCTAGCACCATAGGCGCCGCTTGAGCCGTGGTCGATCGAGCCGGAGCGGAACGTGCCACTCGAAAAGCTCGGTCGTGTGTTGGCGGTGCTACTGCCGGGTCGCGAATTGCGACCGGGTGATTGGCCGGTTGCTTGCTCGTTGATGGCCGTGACCAGAGCGTTGTTGATGATGGCGTCGCTCCATCCGTATTCGATGTTGCTGATACCGCCGACCAATGGATGGGTGCTCAGGCGAGCACTCCAATAGTTGGCCGTGGTGACGAACTCCTTGCTGATTTCCGGGGTACCAACCTGGAAAAGGTGAACAGCGCCGCTGGGAAGGCTCAGCGCCCAGACATGAGGCCGAGCTCTGGAATATCCTGGGGGCGGAAGAGCAGATGCCAGGGTCTGTCGAAGGCTAAAGGTGCCCAGGTTAGTAGCGTTATCTTGCCAGTTGCCACCTCCAACGACAGCAGGGCCCTTGGCATTGCGACCGCGGCTCTTGCGTCCCACCGAAGATTTAGCGGTTCCAAATGAGAAGATGCTCATCTGGCCCTTTTGTACGACGGCAAACACCTCATTCCAGTGCCTGTCCTTTGCTTTCTTGTCAATACCGTCCAGATGGTGTTTGTGAATCACGATACCCTCCTTTACCCATGGAGGTCCGGCCAGTTCGAGGGACTCGTCTTCGAGAAGTTGAGCGCTCTTCAGTTCGTCGCTCATAATCGAGGCGGCCTTTCCGAAAGCTGACTCATCATCACGGATGATGGCCTGGCTAAGGGCGTTGGCAAATCCGATGGACTGTTGATAGTCTCCGCCTCTGAATGACGACCCGAGCGAATCCACAGACATCGAGGTTTGCGTTCTGCCCAGCGAGAGCTTGCTCCATGTCGCCGACGAAGCCGAAGGGCTCCAAATCGAATTTCCGTCCTCGAAGCTCGTTCTCGACGAAGAGAATCCCGGATTGCCCATACGAGGTCGTGACCTGCTCTTCGAATTCCATCTGGAAGAATTGGCACGACCATGTTCAGCTATGCGCCCTCGCATAGATGCCTGACTTTCTGACGGGGCCTTACTCAGAACGCTGGGCGTTCGCTTCAGCATGCCGATGACGGACAGACTATTCGTGGTGGGCGTCAAGTTCTTCGACGGGTCCGCACCGAAGAGCGGCAAGCGTTCGTCGCGGATCGAGGTGTAAATGTCCTTCAGCACGATCTCGACCTGGCTCTCCCAGGCACGCATCGAGCCGTCGAACGGTGCTTTCACCAGCGGTCCGCATTCGTCGTGGAAATCTGACGATCCGTCCTCGTTTCTCGGCGGCGGTCGGAACGACAATCGGCGCGAAACGAACCTCTCCTCGATGGATGGTCTGGAGTCGTCTCCTCCGAGAGAGCTGTTGGTCTTGCCGGGCAAAATAGTTGGCCGTTCGAAAGCTTCGGGGGCTGACTCGGCCACCGCCTGAGTGATCGTGGTCATGGTATTTTTGACGAACTGGCTACGCGTCATCTTTTGGTCGATGTCAGCCAGGTGCAAATCAGTGTTGAGCAACATGATCGAATAGCAGATTGTGTGAATGACATCTGTGTCTGGTTAGCAAAGTTCAAGGTTAAATTTTAGTCAGCGACAAAAGCTTACCAGATGCTTTGAACCCATGATTTGTGTTGCAATCACACCAACGCTTGGAAAACGCAACCAAAATACGATCTACCTGCTGCGTCTCTGCTCTGAAGACCAGGCGCTCGCAGATCAAACGAAGACTCTGCAGAATGCTCTTGTTGGTAAAATCATAGAGATCCATGTATGCACGCAGGGTTCTCTGGCGGATGGGGCCCTCCTCGCCCATCCATGCGGCGGCCTTCTCCTTCTGGATGAAGTCCTCGTTACCATCAAAGATTTTCTGTGCCTTTTGGCGATCATCGTCGGTAGGGTCTCCAACGACAAACTCAGGCTCGTCCAGAGGCTTTGCGTTCATCGACTCGAAAGTACCCAAAACCTTCGGGCTGTTGTCGGGTTCGACTCTGACGCTTGGGGCAGCACTAGCAGCAGACTTGTAATCGGTAGTGGTAGATCCTGACGTCCTGCTGGCAGACCTAGTACCCTCGATTGGCAGAATCAGTCCAGATTTATTGCCCTCGTCATCAGAATCCGTCGTGTCGACGGTGAGACGGTTGGTCTTCCTGCCTCTGATAGTGGTGTCATCCCTTTTCTGGGACGGCCTTCTCGAGGGAGAGGATTCCTTGGACGGCTTGTCTTGCCTGTGGCCCTTCTCTTTCCTTGTCTTACCCCTTTGTCTCGACTCGGTATCGGCTTCGTTATCGCTGCCATCGATGTCAAGGAATGAATTATTCCTCTTCTCGTTGGATACGGGAGGCTCAGGCGGCGGTCGAGTTGGAGTATCGGTGCGGCGTTCATGGTCGGAGGGAGAGCGGTCCTCGCCACGAGAGCGAGACCTGACCTGTCGAATACGTGCGTTGGGACTTGGGTCGTACTCGGGGGAGAAAGAGCGGGGGTGCTCCTCTGCTGATCCCTCGTCGTGCGGGTCAGGAGCCATTTCGAGATCAGTAGCTTGTACAGGAGCAGATTGAGGAGTGATGGGCGTGTTTGGAGTCAAAGGGCTGCCTTTAAGGTACGGGTTCATGACCCTTCGTAAGCTGCTGATTGGGCTGGGCTCAGGTTTCGCGGAAAGCTTGTCCTTAGTAATGGGCAGCTGAATGGGAGCGACGAGAGGGGGCATGGGCGGCTCGAGGGCAGCTGGAGCTGGCACGGGAGGCACTTCGTCGGCGGACACAGACTTCTTTCTGCGACGGAAGAAAGAGCTCGGTTTCTTCTGCAGCACGTGATGATGGGAATGGGACGAAGATGTGTCCCTCGAGGGCGGGGCGGAGGTGGAGGGCTTCATCTGGTTGGAAACGTGGAGGGATCGATTCCCTGATCTCTGATCGGCCGTATCCACAGATGTTGACGACGTTACGCCCGAGGAATTTTGAGTCTCGGGCGGGTTATTAGAGGCATTGTTTCTGGACGAACCAAACACTCGCCTGAAAAACCCCGGTTTTTCTTTTGTTTGTGACGGTGTATGTGTCGGAATCGGAGCTCCGTGCACGGCCTCTTTTGTCTTGCCGTAGCCCACATGTGGCGCGGGTGCCGAGTCAATGTCGAGCGCGGGGACGGGAGAGGGCTCGGTAACGGGCGCGGCTGCGGGTAATGGCGGCACCTCTCCGTGATTGTTATTAGGTTTATGGTCGGCCTTGCGGCTCGTTGCCGTGCTTTTGGCTGATCGATTCGTTGATTTGCGCTCGAGAATGACGGCGGGCGGCTCCAGCTCGTCATCAGCCACGGGAGCGGCTACAGGCGATCGTGGGTACGTGGTGGTCGGGGGTGTCTGGGGCACGATGCGTCTTGGCCCTCCAGGCACCGTCGGCGTGGGGGCCGCATCGTAGTCGTCGTTGAAAAAGGTATTTGAAAATTCAATGTGCCAGGGAGCTTGACCCTGTTGTTGAGGCTGAGGCTGGTAATGTTGTTGCTGCTGCTGCTGCTGCTGTTGCTGTTGCTGTTGCTGGGTGGCCTGCAGGGCAGCGGGTGGACGATGGCCGTAGTCGAAGCTCGAGGATCGACCACCGAAGCCGGACGCCCACCTCGTGCTGCTGAGAACCTGAGCGTAACCAGCATCG